CAATCCTCTGTCCCCGGCACCCTTTTCCAACAAGGTCACTTGGTCCATCTGTATGTTCAGTCACCCACACGGTCTAGCTGCAGCAGATCCATACGAAGGGGACGAAATTCTCGCGACAAACTTCGCTGGGCGGCATATGAGGATGTTCACACAGAGGTACTGTAGCAACGGCCCAAATATTTTGCTACTCCCCGTTTTCGCCTGCGCAGTAGTCTCCGATTAGGTCTGGGGGCCATGCGGCATGCCACTATCAGCTGCAGCAGGCCACATGCAGCCTTGTTCGCCGTCGCAGGCCCCGCGTGAGGTGCGCCATCTTCAAGCTGCATCGAAGCATCGGCGGCGCATGAATGCATGTTGGCCCGGCCTGTCACCCCTCCACTAACAATAACGAGCGACACCAACGTGTCCTGGCCTTTGCGGATGCCCAACTATTAGTGTACTGCCGAGTCCCCCCTTTCGTAACAGGTTGCCTCCTCGCTTGAGCCTTGCCCACTATGTACACCGCCTCTTGCTCCCCACAGAGCCATAGAGGGTCATACAACCTCTCACTCTCGCACAGCTTCGGAACAGGCGCGACCGCCGACGGGTGCTCCATCGGTCCGCTGGCGGGCAAAATACGGCCTCTTGGCCTGGCTTACCTAACGATTGGCGGGCAGTCGTCCCACCCGCCGAAGCATCCATCTACGGCACCGGGGGGACACGGGGCCACGACCCGGAGTGCCCGCGGCGACAGTTTCAACGCCTGACGGATGGCCCACTGTCAGCGCGACCTTTGCATGTTCATACGAATATCGTCTCCCAGTCCACCAAACCCCTCTCGCTGGACTTTGAGCGTGGCGAGTGCAACCGCGAAGCCCAACTTGTGCGTCACGTCCCAAGTGTCGGCCTGACAGATCAGTCCGTACAGCATGCCCGCAACGAAGGTGTCTCCCGCCCCTACCGAGCTGTCCCCCCCATCTTGTTAGTATTGCACGCCAAGAAGAAAGTTGGGTGTTGAGCAGTGGTACGGCGTAGCTTACTCGACGACTTGCTTCACCGGCGTCTCGACTGGGCTTTTGACCAGCTGCGGGTCCTTGGGTGATATGCACCATGCTCCCTCAGCACCCCACGTAACCATGGCCAACGACCTATTCTGCAGTCAGCAAGTACGTGATGCGTGACCGTTGGACACGTCTTGACCGAACTCACGTTCGCGGCAACGATAGCGACTCTTTCCTCAGACAATCATCAGCGGACGTATACCCGCAGCCCTGTGCCGCCCTGTCAGTATGCACCACGCACTGCTGTGACTGGCGTACGCCAATGTCTGAAGAACGAACGTGACACACCTCAGCCCAGCTCTTGGAGTAGAAAACCACGTCCGCCTCAGCAGCGAGCTCTCTCAACCCCGCCCTACCCGGCCTCTCGACCTCGACGCTGACCGTCACCGCGTCATCGCCCAGGGCCCGCCGAAGAGCCAGAATGCAGCTCAGTGTCGTCTCCGGAACCCGTCCCTCAAAGTGCCACCACGTCCGGCCGCCTTTGCCGCGGAACGCCTCGACGACGTTGAGGAACTCGTCCGTCGTCATATCGGGCAGGTCATTGTGGTTCACAATTGTCCGGCTGCCGGTCGCCTCGCTGCGGAAGATGTAACTGCTCGCCGGCGCCTGATGGCCTTTGCGGAATAGGCAGTGATCAAATCTGATCTCCGTGGTGCTGGCGGCAGCGGCGGCAGTGGTATCTAGCGCGGACGGGAAGGAGGCTATGATCTGCGCCGTCGCCTGAGATTGACGCTCCGGCAGAGGCGAGACGAGGTGCATCGTCAGGGGCTCGATTTGTGAATGCGGGAGGTGCGCTGCGCGGGGGAGTTGCTGGAGGACTTCCATCGTGTTGGGGCAGTTGCCGCCCCTGCGTACGCGGATGCTCGTGGCTCGTAGCTTCAGGTCCTCTCCTGGGAAGTGAGGTACGCTTGAGAAGAAGAGTGTGAGTAGGATGCCCTCCTTTGATCACTGGGCGGGGTGAGAGCCTTGCCTGAGGACTGTGTCGACGTAGCACGCCCCGACGAGGATGAGATGCTTCATGTTGTGATGTGACGTGAGTGTTTTTCAAATGCCCGTTATCGTAGACGTTCTCGTGCGCATCGCATTCATCTCCAGGTTAAATCGCAATCACCTCCTATCAAATCGTAAATGCGACGAGATATAGGGTACGTGATTCACGAGATGCCCTACGACGATGCTTGCATCAGATGCTGCTGGCTGGATGTCCTTTTGGCCGATGAAGATGGTGTTATCGACAAACGCTTGGCCTAGAAAACGATGCGGCTGGTCGGCTTATCTTTTAACCGCCTACCATGTCGCGATAATGCAAGATTCCTGTTGCGCAACGCCCTTACGCCTTGCAGAGATGTCAAAGCAGTTCTTTTTGACCATCTTTTACCCTGCTTTCGGCGGTATGAACGTTGTCCTTGGTGAGAGAGATGAGACCTTCCGTGGGAGTTGTTCAAAGTGGTGGAAGGTGATGCCGCGGAGTCTCCTGGCGATGTCCGTCAAGGCGTATGTGTCGGGCGGGATGTTGTCTCTCTGAATGTCCTCCTTCAGGACCTTTGCATGTTGGGTACTAGGCTATACCATATCTTCCAAAGCTTGGTCGTCTAGTTCTCACTGTATTTATTGATGAGTAGTAAACGCATCCGCAGCGTTCGTCGGCTCTGCCAGATTAGAGCGACGATTATGTAAATCATGATCGAAATTGACGCGCCGTTTACATCTTTCAGCCATCGTATAGTCTGGTGCGCGTCCACATTTATTTCTCGTCCGCGGAGACAGAACCGCATGGTTTGTTTCCTGTTCAAGGGATTGACTTTCTACCAGATTGGATCGCCTGGAGCGAAAGCCCCCTGTTGCCGTCTTTTTCCTTATGGCCAAGACATTCTGTCCAGTTGAGATAGTCTCCTTCCATCGTTATCGTTTCTGGAAGCGTTCCTGTATTCATCGAGGAGTTCTTTGTTGGTAGACTGGTACCGTGTTCGCCTTCCGACAAGAGAGTAGGTAACAGCGTTAATGCCAATATATTGGAGGTTTCCGATGTATCGACTACAAGATAGTGTCTTCCTTGCGCCTTTAGTTTCAATTCAACCCAAGTCATTTGAATGCGTTCATGTGAGATAAAGTTTCTCTCCGCAAATGACAACCTGCCCATTGGATGGACGGTCTACTTCGTTCAGCCATGGTCGGTCTAGATGTATTATCAGCTTACGATGTAATACCAAACGTCCATACTTGGATGCGAAGCGAAATTTTGATGTGAGACTATGGTATACCAGCCAGCAACAGGTAATCTGCATCATCTTCGCTATAGTCTGGAGGCAATATCGGTGTTATTGATATGAGGGTCAAGATATCTCCAAGATACCAAAGCCTCGCAAACACGTTTGCCTAACTTAGTGGACCATCACTCAACCATTTTCCGGTTGGCCACCTTGAAGAATTACTTAGCTCCTTCTTCTTGGTCTCAGATGTGCTCGGAATTGTTGATGGATTTATAATATAGGAGATATACAGATGAGATTTGTGGGTAAAACCGCGGGTGAGATTCCCGGGACAGCTAGATTCAGCCTCGAGCTAATCAACTAGGAGCTCCGTTCAGAGTGAACAGCACGCGACGGCAGGACACAAGTCCCAAGGTAGCACTATACCCAGCGAGCCATATCGGATGTCCGCTAGAAGAAGAATTATTTGATAGAGAGCTCGCTTTTATCCCTAACTTCAACGGTACTCTTGCTTGGCAGGGATCGAGGCCGCCAACCCACCCTTGCAACGAGTCTACAGGACTCTGCAACTCCACTGCAATACGTCACATCCTAGTTTTCCGAGACGAAAAACCGTATGTGTAATCTTTACAGAAGAGAAAAGAAACACAAGAGCGAGTTCTGTCTGAGGAGGGGCTGCGCCGCAGGGGGTTTCCTGGACCACACGACTTCTGGCTTTATGGAAGGCTGCGGCTATTACGTATCTTGAAATCTTGGTTCTCTGAACGTTTCAAGATATAGTCGTGGAAGGAGAATGGTTTAGCCACCTTGTAGTTGCTTATGCGTAATATGAGCATCCTGGTCCGAAGGTAAACCTGAACTTTTGTCTTTGCCGGTATGAGGGAATCTTTGCCTCCCTTCTCTCTCTTTATAGCTAGGTAGAGCATTTTAGCCAGACAAATCAGATCACAGCTTCTGGTCTGCCAATTGATACATGTTAGTCACAGTCATCTCTTTCTTATACAATATTGTATCCCCGATCTATCTGCCGTGTGCCCCAAAAACCCCTTTCAGACAGCTGGGCTGTTTTCATCATCTTGGCGATGCCTACCTGTCTGAACATCGACGGCAGGGTAAAGAAAAAAGGTAGCTCTTCGGTAGAAGAGGACAAGACGAGAATGAGGGCGACAGAGCCAACAGAAAGGTGAACGTCCTGGATGATCTGAACGGGATCTACGATTGGGGCACTCAACTCCTTCACTCTGAATAGAATCGATCAAGGTCAGTATCGAAGGGCCGGCAACTGGGATGAGGTCATAATATTAACGACAGAAAGCAAAGTTTACAACAATCCATTGACGGTGACGTTAGAGTACGGGGCTCCATCTTGAGTAGATAAACCGGTTGAAGATATGACCCAGACATTCAATACACTGCATGACTAAATCCTCGATTATGTTTCGTGGTCGTGATAATTCGAAAGAGTCGAGCGGGTTGCATTTCGAAAGCATGCGGATGGCGCATGTCTTGCCTGTCAAGCAGGGGAATTGGTAGGTCTCCAATCTAGATGACTACACATGTCCCATTCAATCTAACAGTAAAGAGAGAAATATGCATTATAATTGTATATAAATGGCCGAAATTCTTGGCCAAAGAGGTATCATATCTCCAATCTCATCGACGCCGAATGCATCTACATAATTATATGCTCCGATTCTAATGCCCATTTCCTCGTAATCTGCGAACCCCTATTCGCATCACTAAACCGCTCTCACTTTTTATACACTGACAAACGATTGCCGTTACCGCAGTATTCTGTGCTGGAACCCGTACACAGCATACTGCAATCGCTCAACGGGGCATCAAGCGACGTCGTCGGCAGGGAATTACCACAGTAGCACTCGCCGCCGTACTCCGTTCCGAAGTAGCTATACCCATCGCAGAATGCCGCGCACGCCTCGTTGGTCATCTTATCGCTGCTGGCCGTAGCCTTCCCATCCAGAGCGCGTCCGCCCTGCGCGGGTTCGGTGCGGCAGCCGAGGAAAGCATAGGCTCCGGCTGTGGCGGGCTGGCTGGGGCCCGTTACCTGCTTGTCGGACTGGTAGAGGGTCAGGCGGTTGCCGCCGCCGCAGTACTCGTACTTGTTGCCGCTGCAGGTCATGCTGCAGTCTGCCAGGGGGGCGGCGGCGCTCGTGGAGGCGAGGGTGTTGCCGCAGTAGCATTCGCTGCTGTATTCAGTGCCAAAGTACTTGTAGTCTGAGCAGTACGAGGCGCAGTACTCGAGCGTCATGTTGTCGCCAGAGGCGTAGTTCTTCTGACTCAGGGCGCGGACACCGTTGCCTTCCGTCCAGCAGCCTACCAGAGTGTAGGGCGAGATGGTAGGCCTGTGAGCTAGCGTCGGAGATGTGGTTGTTGAGGTTGAGACGGTGCTTGAGGCCGAAGGCGAGGCTGTCGATGAAGTGACGGCGCTGCTGGAGGATGAGACAATGCTCGATGAGGTGCTTGAGGAGGACGTGACACTGGTTGAGGATGCTACGCTGTTAGAAGAAGTAGAGCTGCTGGAAGATGCGACACTGCTCGAACTTGAAGTAGACACCGGCGACGAGGTCGAAGAGGTGCTGGAAGTAGAGGATGCAGATATCAGAGTAGAAGACGATGATCCGCTCGCCGCTGAGACACTGATAGAGCTCGTGGATGAAGAACTGCTCGAGGTCGTAGTAGCCACCGTCGAAGCCAAAGTAGACGAGGCACTGCCGACTTTGTACAGCTCCAGGCGGTTGCCGTCACCGCAGTACTGGTACGAGTTACCAGCACACTTCATGTTACACTCGCTCAGGGGCGCAGTCTTGCTGGTTGCTGCCAGGCTGTTACCGCAATAGCCTACTTTGTGTTAGTTCTCATCCATACCTCAAGATATAATCAACACTTACATTCGCGTCCATACTCAGTGCCGAAGAATGTATAGTCGGAGCAGAAAGAAGCACACTTGTCGAGAGTCATGTCGTCCGCAGCAGTCTGGGCAGCAGAAAGTGCGCGACCACCATCGGCCTCCGTCTGGCAGCCGACGAGTGAGTACTTGCCGACGGTGTTGATGTGTGCGAGAGTAGCCGTAGGAGCGGCCGTGGAGCTGCTGGTGCGGGTGGCGGTGGTCGAGTAGAGCTCAATGCGATTGCCGGCTCCGCAGTACTGGGTAGAATCACCAGAGCACTGCATGCTGCAATCGGCCAACGGTGCGGAACTGCTAGACGCAGCCAAAGAGTTGCCGCAGTAGCATTCGCGTCCGTATTCGGTACCCCAGTAGTCGAACCCCGTGCAGTTTGCCATGCAGCTGTCGAGGGTCATGCCGTCGTAAGCGAACGCGGCACCGCTGAGAGCTCGGCCACCAGAAGCCTCGGTCCAGCAGGAGACGAGCTTGTAGCCGCCCATGGTCTGTCTGTGTGAAATCGTAGCAGTCGCAGCCGCGCTGGACGTAGAAGACGACACTGTGACGCTGCCACATGTCGGAGACCCTCCCGTCCAGCTCGAACATGTCCCACCGATAGGGTCGGCCTTCTTGAACGGGTCAATCATGGCGGACGCGCCCTCTCCGCTGATGAAGTCAAAAGTCGACTCGAAACTGACGCCACCAGGAATGTTCGTGGTGACACTGTAAAAGGTGTAGCTGCCAACACAATCACCCTTGACCATGTCGACGGTCATCTTACCTAGCAGGGGCACCACGCTGCTTGTTCGCGCTGTCTTGTAAGAGATTTCTGCCTTGACCGGGAGAGACGTGCGGTCGTTGCGGACTGCGGCGACAAGTGTAACATCGCCAGAGTTCTGCGTTAAGCAGCTCTGGGACGTCTGGAGAAAGATACCGTCCTGAATCGGGTACCAGTTGCCATTGTTGTTAAATAATGTGCTCGAGCCATCGCTCTTGTTGATCGTCACAGTAAAGGACGAGATGCCCGTGCTGACCGGAATCTCCTGCCTGATGGGATACCAGGAGAAGCTGTCTTCCAAGCCCTTAGAAATACCCGAGATGGTGATTGTAAAGACACAGGAGCCAGTACCGCAGGTAGACCCGCCACTCCGGTTCTTATAGTTGATCGTCAGACTCGAGATGCCTGTGATGGCGGTAGTTCGGACGCGAATGTAGCCTGTAAGAGTCATGATGGTGGACGAAGTGAGGGAGAGCTGAAGCTGGGACGGCTTGACGGTGTAGGGTGCGATGGCATCGCCGAGAGTAACACCAGATGGCACGGTGTTGATCATCTTCTCGAAGACGGTCTTGCAGGTAGACTTGAAGACTGCGAGGTCGGTCATGGCCTTCACGGTGGCGTTCTTGTCGGAGCTGAAAACGACGAAATCGGAATTACTGGCTCGAGCAGTGCCCATTTTGATGACAAGCGGGTTCCGCGTGGTGCCATCTAGATATTCGGTCACAACTCTGTTGTCAAAGACACCGTTTGAGCTATCCATGGGCGCGGAGCCGTTGGTATTTGTGCCGTCTGGAACGATGGTTGGATTCTCGGCCGTGTGGACGCCGCCAATTGTATGGCCGCAAGCTGTGACTTGAATCATCTCTTGTGGAGTGAATCCCATGCGATTAAACTTCGAGTTGAAAACTTGGATGACTTCGTTGGGCTGCGGTACGCCTGCGGCTCCTTTCACGGTTGCGTCGATGCGGCCGGATCGGATTGCAACTGAGGGACCGCCGCACGACAGGACCGAAGTATAGACTCCAAGAGCGATGAGATCCGACATGCTGCTTTTGCGGGTCAAGTAATGTCCCATAAAGGTCAGAGTTGACGAAAAGGCAGGGCCGGTATTCTCGCCGGTGCTCGACAGCTCATATTGTATAGATGCATCCAACCCACCAACTCCTGTCCCTGCGTTGGCCGGTGCCATATCGTGAAAAGCGGTTCGCAGCCATTCTGCAGCAGTTTGGCGGCCGGTGCCCGTTGCCTCCTTGGCGCAGGGGAAGACGTTGTCGGCAAAGTGTCGCGATCCGAAATTGAACGACTGGTACATGATCTCCTCCAACTCGTCAATGTCCGAGGGCCATGTCGGATCAGCCTGGGCCTGTGAGGCTAAGCCGAGCAGGCTCAACAGTATTGATGATTTCACCTTCATGGTGGTATACTACCTCGACCACGAGGAAACCGAATTACAAAATGTAGTGCAAGTGAGTGACTTGGTCGTCCGTAATAATGACGGCTTGACCTTTGGATTAGGGCACTATGGAGGCATAGAGGGATCAAAGAAAGTGGAAAGGGTGTAGACGACGAAGGTAAAGCGAGGGATGAGAGAGGAAACAGAGATGAGATAGTGGCCCATGGCCGTTAGATATGAGAGACATGGTGTGAAACGACACCAGAACGGCGAAGGAATAGACCAAGAGATGCGGCAACAACTTTTTGCCAACATACACGAGCTGACCTTCGGAACCGTGGCGACCTGACCGCAAGAGACGGATGATCTAGGCACTCTGGGCAGGCCTAGGTTGTTGTGGAGGGGCTCTATCGCCAGCAAGGGCAGTAGTCTCCGTGTATGCTTTGTGTACGGAGTAGCGCCAAAAGAGAACGGTGGCACAGCTTGATCTTGCCCTGGTCTGTGACCTGTGGGAAGAGCGAGTGAGGTCCGGGTGGATGGGAGGCGAGTTCCCTAGTGTACTAGTGAAAGTCCCTTGAAGTGAGGGTGAGAGTGAGAGTGAGGGTGAGATTGATGGTAAGGGTGAGAAATTGAGAGTGAGTTCTTCGTATTTTTGGCAAAAATTGCCAAGGGTGCCAGGACCCCTCTTTCCCTTTCCGATTTAGTGCCAGCCTCGCATTGGATAGAACAAGATAAACTGGACAATGCGGCTATCGTAATTGGTCGCGGGCATTTTGTGGCTGCTGTCGGTGCCAGCCGCAAAACCAGGGGTGCCGGGGTGACGATCCCCTGCCCCTGAGCACGGCTTACTTCACTTAACCTTAATCGGTTGGTTCAGGTCTTCGAGATACCCTCCAAAGGGGTTTTTGGAGAGTGAAATGGCCCAATGGTGCGTCGAGCCGTAAATTGCATCCCGACATTTTGGGTGGTGGTCTTGGCTTGGTGATGTTCGGAAGGTGGGAAAGCCCCTTCTCGGCATTCTCTTAGCAGGCCGAGTCAGCAAGGCAAAGCACTCTTGCACTTTGAGGACGGCGAGCTACGAGCCTGACCTCTCCTTCGGTTCGTATGTTTGGTGTGGCATCCTTGCCCCTGCCCTGCGTTGCCGATGCCAAACTATTGATGCCATGTCAACCATGGCGCTCCAGCTGATGCTGCAGAACGCATGCATCTCTTGTCTATATTGCAGCTTGCGTAATGCTCTCGACCTCATGCGCAGGATCTTTATCAATCCGGGGATTCGATGTTAGCGGAGAGGGGCTCAAGCAGAAGAACAAATCAGGACACGGACAGTTTGGCTGGCAATACCTCGTAGATTCGGCTCCGACGGCAAATTCAGTGTGTCTATCCGTACCAATGTGCATTGTCTTCGACGTTGGCAGCACATGAGAATCAAGCAGCCATTAGTACAGGGATTAAGGAACCTTTGAGAGGGGACAAGGAACTCGCATTTTCTGGGAACGCGCCAGATACCTTTGAGTCAGGGAGAACGATCTCTGCTCGCCTGTCCCGTCAATACTGGAACCCATCTCCCGCTGTCATCCCATCGCGACAGTTGCCAAGACGCTCTTGCCATGCTGAAGTCTGCCCAGCTTGGTCTCTCCACTAGGGCTAGGAGCGGGCTTTCCATGGACAAGTACTCGAAGACTCCTCCAGATTGCAATGGCTGAAGTTGTCATGGCGGCCAATTGTGGCTTCTGTTAGTGGAAACGTACTATCGTTTTTCGCCGCAATGTGGGCAAATAAGCTGTCAAGCTAGCCCTTCCCCACGACCCGAGCGCCATATTACCTCAAGGATAGCGTGCGGTTTGCCCACCTGCTCGGCGTCGTGACTCGGTTCGTGATTCCCTTACGAAAGAGAAGGACAAAGGATGTCATCCCCACACCGAAACTCTACCGACTGACTGCTCGGGCAACGGTAGCAAGGCTGAACAAAGCCAAACACGCCAGGCCATGCGAGACAATAACCCATTACAGGCTCAACAAAGAGAATCCAACGGCCAAGAATAGCCGCCAAGTCGCACCGCGCTAGAGACAGCACACGAGTCCGATTCGAAGAGACCTTGTTCCGATGTTCCACCTTGAACGCCCACCAACACGGAAAATGGCTCAACATCGTGTTGAGACGCATCTTTCGGTGGAGTCTGGTTCGCTGATACCCCCAAGAGGTTCTACAAAGGTGACAAACGGTTAGGGGATGTCGGAAGGCGCCGAACAACCGACAAAAACCACGGCAGGAAAGTCCCAGGCAGGCACTATTGATAAGGTAGGGACCGAACGTAAATGACCGGCCCCACACAAGGGCTCCGGTACGGGACACCATGTGCCGGGGCCTCGGTGCCAGCCAGGAAAGCGGAGCCGTTGCCGTCCGTCAAGCCCTTCGCCCATGGACCCAACGCCGGTATCCTACGGGCAAACGCTTTCCGAAGCTATAGCAAGGCTGGGAATCGTCGGGTGCAACGGTAGATTTATTGACAGTCCTTGACCAGCCGCCCGCAGCCCACCGAACGCCCCTTCGGAAGCCTACCGGGAAGGTGCACGATCCGAAGCGTCCATATTCGGAAGGCATTCAATTCCGCAAGACATTACACAAACACAAACGGCGTCTCGTCTCGGAATTTTACGGTTTCTCTGCAACTCGAGATTGTTGCCCAGTGACACTCGAAGTGGACGACTGTGATGTATTGTCTAGATGCGAGGCACGTCACCGTCGAGCAAAAAGCCCTGGGCTAGTTCTCGGTCGAACCCTTCTTGCCCAAAACGATTGTATGGAACCCTTCTTTCTAGGTACCAGTAGTTTTCTTCGCGGGCCGAGGCACTTGGCTGGAATTTGACATCACAAATTTTCGTCGAAATCGTCCGATTGTCGACAGCTTAAAAGCCGCCGCTATGATTGCCGTCGGCGCTACCCGTCAGACAATGCGTCGATGAAGCAGGCAATGACATAATGTGACCGGATTGAGAGCATCACACAGACTTGACGCCTAGTCCGAAAAGACCAACAGTCCGACGTCAAGATAGCGAAGGACTGGTCACATTGAGAACCGCCCTGACTGCCCTATTATATACAAGTTGGCTAAGAAATAATGAGTCACTATTGTCTCTTCGAAGCAGCGATTATCTACGAGCTGTATAGAGGAATGATCATGAATTTCTGGCGGGCAGGCTTTCCCACGATCCGGGGAAACCCTGACATGACCAGGGGAAACGACCAGGACTGCAAATCCACAAAAAACCTGGCAGCGGGAAGAACAAACTCTACGCGAAACTTGACGGAGAAGAGACGTACCGTGGTTGCATAGCTGATGATCAATTATCTCATGCGTAGGACCGCCCTTGCAATTGGGCGCCGGCCCGCCAATGATCTTCAACAGCCCAGACCAGACCTTGAAACCGAGACATACTATAGCGACGCGTACAATACACTAAGGGATGTCTTGTAGGTATAGGCATGAGCTAGCCAGACCAAGACAGAGACAGGACAAAAACCGGACCCAGCGGGGTTGAACGCAGTCTCGAATTGAGCAGAGGGGATTCCAGACGTGACAGACGGTCAGAATGCGGGCATTGTCAAACTTCGCAGTCTGCCAGTATGGATAAATGCTGGAAATCAGTCATAAATCCGAGAAGCTGCTCCGAGAACCGTCCAAAGGGAGATGGTCCCGGGAAAGCTGAAAAACTCTGCCGTTCTTAAACTCTAGCCGTCTTGGACATGAAGTATCCCAGGGCTCCACGACTTCTCGGTATACTGTAGGTTTTTAGTCATGAACACCACCTTTACAACGTCAACATACGGGTCTGGGCTCTGGGCTATCCCGTGTGAGCCGATGAAATGTGCGGCCAACCCTGGCATGGAAAGCTAGGGGGCAGTGGAAACTCTCAGTCACAGCAAAAGCGAAAGGTAAAATGGGAAGACCCCTGGGAAACCGAGTGATCCCGATCCCCACACCTTCAAGGTTCACAAAGTCATTCGCCCCGCCAAAGCCACAGACGACCCCACCACCGTGGCCGTGCCGGCCCTCCGGCACAGAAGAAGTGGAGAAGCCGTCTTCACTCCGGCCCAATCACGGCGACGTCTGTCCCTCCAAGACGCCTGACATCATCGGACTCCACTTGCCTACAACCCCCATTCAGCCACAACGGCCTCCGTCATCGACGCTGCAAACAGCGCCCCAGACCAAGAACCTGACGCCTGTCCTCCGTCATTGGGTGAATTGGCTTCAAACTTTGGGGGTGTTGGTGTGTGGTGAATACACTGACTGTGTATGCGTAGAACGCAAAGAACATGTTCCAGGAATAAACGGGGATGGGGCGGAGACAGCCCAAGACAGGCTTGAACAGCGCTGTACCTTGCCACGATCTACGCAATGGAGCGGGATCGGGCTGTCCATTTACCGGCAGACAGAGCAGGGAGGCAGCCCTTGTTTCCTTCTTCCTTCCTTCCATTTAACCTTTAATTCTTAAGGGTCTCGAGCCTCCCCCATTCGTTCACCTTGACTCTTATCTCATCCCACCTCACCTTCGGTATCCAGGGTGTGACTCGAACGACAAAAGGGACATCCGAACAAAGTCAGCCAAACAAACAAGCTTCCGAGTACACTGAACACATACAAACAGTCAACTCAACCAAGAAGAAAAAAGAAAAAGGAAGAAGCTCCAACACAAGCCGCAAAAATGGGCTTCGCATTGAAATTCCTTCAGTGGTTCATCCGCGGCGTCCAGCTGGGCTGCTCCATCCTCATCCTCGCAATCTTCTCCTACTTCCTCGCGACCCTCCACAACCACTCCCTTCCGATATCAAATTCCATCCGCGCCGTCGAGGGCATCTCAGGCGCCGCTACCCTCTACACGTTGGTCGGCCTCTTACTGCTCTGCTGCCTCGCGGGGCTCGCCTTCACCTCCTTCATCGCCATCGTCCTCGACGTCGCCTTCATCGGCGCCTTCATCTACGTCGCTGTCGCCAACAAGGGCGGCGCCGGAACCTGCTCCGGCACCGTCAGCACGCCCTTTGGCGACGGCCCCGCCGACGGCGAGCCGACTAACACGGGAAGCGACGGCTGGACTCACCTCCCCAGTTTGCGCACGGCTTGTAAGCTGCAGACTGCCTGCTTTGCAGTCTCCATTGTCGCAATGTAAGTTTGATCCTATGGCAAAGCTTGGAAACTCTCAGCTAACAAAATGAAACCTAGCTTCTTCTTCATCTTCTCCATCCTCGTCGAGGTCGCCCTCGCCCGCCACCATCGCAAGGAGAAGCGCTTCGGCCCCAGCCCGAAGAACAACTATACCTCGGGCTCGGGCACTAAGCCCGGCTTCTTCAGCAGCTTCCGCCGCCGCGGCCGCGCCGACACCGCGACCAACGACAACGCTCTGCCCATGCACACCAGCCCGGACCAGGTTCGCCCCAGCTACGCTACCGAGACCACCGCCGTTGCTCAGGACGCCGGCTACCCCAAATACGAAGGCGCTTACGGTAACACCACGACGGCGACTGGCGGTGCCAACGGCTACGAGTATGGCCATGAGACTGGTACCACGCAGCCGCCTCCTAGGCACTACAACGATGGTGTTTACGACAGAGTCTAGACATAAATGAGATGGGCATTGAAATGAGTCCACATAATGAGTCGAAGAGAGAAGCAAAGCTGGTCTAGGTTGGTAAAGATACCCAGGAAATTGAGGAGTTTTGCCGTCGTTTTGGAGGCGATGGTTGTTTGTTGTCATTCTAGTTACGATTCAATTGATGATATACCTTGAATCAATCATGTACATAGTGACCTTGCTTGACCAATAGTTGTACTTGGATCGTGGCTATGTTCGTGCACGTCATAAAATGCGTTTGAGCCTCTAGGACTAAGCTATTGGGTGACAGGGTAATCCATTCTCCCGCAAAAAGTCGCCCGGCACCGTCCGTTAGCTTTTAGTAACCTACTCCAGACACTCGTCAAGTGTCAGCATACCTCGTAACTTTGACGCGTAGAGTAATTTTATGGCCAGCCGGCCGCATCGTGCTCCCACTCACTGTTTGCGCCGTCGTCGGCCCCGACATCAGCCCAATTCATGTCCAGCTTCTCCAGCTCCCTTGTAAAAAAGTCTTGCTCCTCGCGCAGGGCAGCCCGTAGCTCGGCCGCAATCTTGTCCGGGTATCGCCGCACATTGAACCAGTGCGTCAGACTGCGTAGTGCCTGCTCCAGTGGCAGCGCCGAGTCCACCTCGGCATCAACGTCGCTGCCGGCCAACCACTCGTCACGCAGTTCAGGTCGGCAATGTAAATACACCGCCGTGATGACGCGCATGTTGCTCTGCCGCCACTTACGGCCGCAGTAGGGTACTTGGTTTTTGAACAGCTTCAAGGTGTATAGTCGGAGTTCTGGCTGGGGAATTTTGAGGGACTTGCGGAGAATATTGGCAGACTTGTACTGCACCAGAAGAAGATTCCGGTGAGCTTTGTGCTTGCAAATCTTTTGCATGATTCGGAGGTAGTTGATCAAAGAGAAGAAGTTTCTTCTCGAAAAATCAGTGATGGGCTCTGCTGGTAGGTCGCCAACAGGATATCCGAGCTCATCAACTTCAGGTCGCACCGCGGCTTGTCCTTCAAGCTTGCTGGTGTCGTCGCCATCGCGGGTGGCGGCGGTCGCGACGCGAGGAGGTGACCGCCTTCTCTTGATAGGCGGTGGCGCCGCTTCGTCCTCGCTCTCCTCCTCCTCCGGCTCTGCCTGTACAGGCGACGTTTCCTTGAATTTCGACCGCAGATTGCAGAAGTGAAAGAAGCTAATCAGTCAGTTTGTGTCGCGTGAGGGCTGGGAACATCACACACCTGTTCTCCAACCGATCCGTTTTGCTGTCTACGACCTGTTGAACATCCTGATGGGCGAACAGCTTGAGCACTAGCGGGAGGTAGTTAGAATCCAGCAAAAGTTGCGTCATGTATTCGGATTTCAGAACGTCTGCGGCCTGGTCAGTTTATGCCTCGGGTAAGACCAAGCATACTCACGAGAGACTCTGAGCCACTTCAATAGAAGCAGGAGAATGCCAGTAATAGCCTTTGTAGTGATTTCCCGGGATCGCGCGGCATCGACCTCCTCCGGTGACATCTCAGGCAGCTCTGGGAGGCCACCTCCAGCTGAAGAGGGGTCTTGGGGCTGCTGTTGTCTATTAGGTCCAGGGCCGCCGTTCATACCGCCATTGGCACCTCTGCCGGCCATGCTTGGGTGCTGTTGACCTTGCGGAGGTTGCGACAACACAGCGGTGACGTTCATAAGTATCGGCCTCAGGAGGACGATTACAAGCGACTGCAGATGAGGCAGGGATTCTTTCTGTTAAAGTGTCAGTCAAACTCAGCTCAAAGTGCCAAAACCACCCACGTAGAAGCTTTCGACAGCAAGCAAACGCCGCTTGATCTCATCTTTTACTTGGTCTGCTGAAGGGCCGCAGTCGATTTCGGGCTCTCGCATCGAAAGTTGCGCTTCTCTACGCTCCTCAGCTTTGGTCTCCGCCTTGAACGCAGCAATCTCTTGCTTCTCTTCAAGGGTCAGCCCCTCGAGGTCGAGATTATCAACATCGCTGTCGTCGCCATCTGCTTCCCACCCTCTCTCGAATTTGAGAAAGCTTTCACGTTCTTCCCACAGCTGTCGCGTAGCACGGGTCATGCGAACCCTCTTTGCAAATAATTCGCCTGCCTCCAAGATGGACGCAGGAATATCACTGCCCTCCCACCTGCGACCGACAAGCTGTTCCTGCAAGCCAGCTCCACCTTTACCACCAGCGCTGTTGCTTGTGGCATCTAGAGGTGGGTACATGAATGGGAAATTCTGGTTCGTCTGGTAGTTTTGCTTTTTGCCGCCCTTGCCCCCAACACCAGGAGACGGCGGCGGTGATGGAGCCGGCGTCGCAATGTGCACGGGTTGGTGCAAGATAGAAGCGCCGCCGCTCTGTGAGGTGGGCGGTCCCGGAAAAATTCCATTGGCTGCGCTGGTCCTCGTGGGCTGATTTGGTATGGGTGGAAGAAGGGTTGTGTTCTCAGGTTCTAGAGGAATGAGTGTCCGCGGAGGGACATAGGCCGGATACTTGGATGTGAGCTCTTGTCGGAACACATGGTAATCTAGAGGTGATGCCGTGATAAAGTCTTTGGACTTTGCATTGGGTGATTCATTTGTTGCCTTTTTCGCCTCGTCTACCTCTTTTGTGCCGCCGAAAACGAGCAGGATAGTTTTCCAGAAGAGGAGGAAAATCTATACTTGTTAGTATGGATTGCGCATGACATAAATAATCGTACCTGGCTGGATGGCATCAGATTCCCATCGTCCCAACGTAGCTTCGAGGTTGCGAGCGACATAAAATCAACCAGTCCAGGTTGAAGAGAAACTGATAGTAGTCAGTCCAGTCTTCCCTAGATAGGTTGAGTGCATGTGACTTACGAAGCTCGGCTCTGGTGGCCTCCAGTTCTTTGGGGAAGCTCAGTGCCTCCTGGATAATGACATACATGATGGTCATGAGATTAATAAGTTCATCCTGGGCTTCTTGGGCGCCACCGGGCTGGACGAGGCGAGCATCATCCGACCTGCTTGAGTAAGCCTACATCGCAGCACATTGCCTGGGGTACTCACCAGAATACATCAAAGCAGCTCTGCAGAGCCGACCAAACAGTGTTAATGCCGTCCAAAGATGTCAGAAAGCTGATGCTTGATCTGATAGCCTCTAATTGTGTCGCACTGGCAGCCGACCTCCTATCACCTACAGTGTCAGGCGTCGAAGTATCGCCCCATCGACCTAGCACTAGGTACAAAACTTTGCCGATATGCGCAGCACGTTGTGTCGGGTCCTTGACTTGAAGACCATCTAGGGCATCTAGCGTGAACCTGGCCTTGGTCTGGTGCTCCGTCTCTTCCCAAGTTGTCTGTATATCGTAGTCGTGCTGCCACTGCCATTCGAAGGCTCGCTGAGCGGCGTTCAGTCGCACCCATTGCCAAAACTGGTAAACAAACCATTCGTCAACCTCTTCGTCGTGGACACTCATGTCATTGTAGACGAAATCGTAGGCGACAGGCTCGCCACGACTGAACTCGGCAACGATTTTACGAAGCTGCATCAATGACAGCGAGTCTGTAGGCTGCTGAGGTTCGGGCGCAGGAGGCATTGGGGCCGGGGGTATCGGAACTGGCGCCGGAGCAGGAGAGGGTGCAGATGAGTTTCTCTGCAAGGACGGCCGTGGTGGAGGCGGAGGAGGTGGATTGCTCGGATCGGGACCAACGTCTGCGACGACAGCGTCCGCTACCACAGCATCTGCAACATCGCCGGTCAGTGGCGGTACCTTTTCGGCGGCGCCACCATCGTTGGCAGGCCGCGAGGGCCACAAAGAGTTCATCCTGTGAGGAGGTGGAGGTGCGTCGATGGGAGTATCATGCTCCAAGAGGTTGTGGGTAGACAGGCAGGAGTCGAGTGTGCTTCATCCGAGGAGATTAATGGATCCCAGAGGAAAACCTCGCGTCGATAACGTGTCGGATCGTATGGGGGGCGAAGTTTCGGTTGCTCAGCGCGGAAGCATTCTGATGTGGTCGCGGTGAAGATGCAGCGATCAGGAGGGATGCTGTTTGCGCTGCAGCTTGTGATTGGTTGGACAGCTGGTTCTTGGTGGTTTGGCGGGGTGTGCCTTGATGTGCGACCCAGCTCTAGCTTCTTATCGCTTATCGCTTATCGGATGTCTTATCTGGATAGAATATTAGGTCATCCCTCCTTATTTGTCAGGACTCTCCAGTGACAACCGTACATAGGGTGATCGGATACCAGTAGGGTAATCTTCGACCCAACAGGAAGTGGAAGAGTGACATGTGCCTGGCAATGCTTGTCGCTTACACTACCTTACATTGCATGGGGAAACAAACTCATTCGAGGCAGCCAAGGCAATGGAGTGATCGTCTCATGTTAGATAGTACGCGAGCAGCATCACCCGATGTTAATCAGCAGTCAGCATCCCAATGGGTGTCTAGCTTTAGATCCTTACTGTGCAGACTTTCCCCCAAGAGTAGATAGATAGTCATGCGGACGTCCGCAAGGTCAACTCGGTTGGTATTAGGCCCTGGTCACTTTGGCCATCTGGCGCTTACCTCTTCCTTCATTCCCTGATGTACTACATTCCATCTCAGAGGTACACTGACGAAGAACTGCAAAGCTGACAAGTGCAGAAACATAATACCCATGGTACGTTTCCTTATCCAGCCCGAGAATCAGGTTGGCTCTGTAAGTCCCACCGCCTAAAACAGCAACGACGTCAGCGACTTGTCTCCCTACGGAGTACTGACCGGTTCTTCGGCAGCACAAGCCACAGGCAGATAGGCCCCCCACCTCACTAATCCTGCCCGCAGTGAGTTCCATGTTGGTCAGCTCGGCCCACTCCGGGCGAACCAGCACCCTAATGGCTACGGATAATGCTGCAATCATCACTAACACCTTGGCCCCGCTGAGTGAAGAAGCTTCCATCCGTTGGAGCTGAGGTGGGCAGCTCTTACTCTGCAACCTCTACTACATTAGTTTCCTTTGATAGATTTCCGCCTACCGTTTCTCCGAGTCACACTCTTTAGAACAAAACCTTTATTCATTCATCGTATAGGCCTCGGCATTGGCAGCAACCTGGATCCTAGTTTCTGTTCATTCATACTTTCGGGGAACGTGCCTCGGGGTTGCAATCGCGAATACTTTCTGCATGCCCAATTGCCTCATTGCCACTGCATATGGGCACTGTACGACGCAAAGAAGAGAGACAGCCACTTGATAACTTCCTCTTCGCGAACGCGGTCGAGATAGACTTTCAATTTGCCAACGATTGGACCTGCTGTTCAACGCTCTCAAAACTGCTTCCTTTTTCAATCCGCTGCTAATGCTGTGAGACCGCGTCGAAGTCGTCTACAAGTACCAGCCGCGATCAAGCTACCCCGCCATTGTCGCGACTTTTCCAACTTGTTTCGCCTTCTTCGTCATCGCAACACTCTTGCTTCCGGAAATGGGTGCCGAGACTACCAACGACGAGACGGAGAAGCGTGTTGGTTTTGAGAAAGAGGAGGATGCGCATTCAAGCGGAAGCGACGATGACTACCAAAAGGCTGTCGAGGTATGTGAATTTGAAGGCGTCATGTCAAACAGCAAGCCTCATATTAAGACTTTGATAGGTCACTTTTGATCCCGGAAACCCTTACCGGCGCAAGAGTTCTCTAGTCACGTCCGAGTCCTCCAGGCCTTTGCCGCGACATCCTAGCCGGAGAACCGAGTGCATCGTACACCAGTTCCTCGAAAGCCAGAGAAAGGCTCGAAACGCGGTAGCCTCAGCCAGCAACCATGGTTCTCGATCGAATTCGGTATCAAGCGCCTCGAAAGCCACCACGGACAACTATCACCACGGTCATCCCACTTACGAGAACTCTCATCGGCAGGTGGGTGCTTGTGATGTATCTGGGGAATCGGGCATGTCGAAAACTGTTGAGCCCAAGGGACGGCTCGCTAAGCAAAGAGCGTCGATTCTGGCCGCCGATAGCCCCGAAGGTAGTGACGTTGGTCAGGCTGACGAAAAGTCCTGGCGATCCGAGATTATCAAGTCTGCTTCGCAAATCGACCTCACCCATTCTGACGACGACGACGAGCTGCATAGCCGACTACTCACCAAGAAGCAGCTTAGTGAAATGGCTTGGGGAGTCCGAGAGCTCAGCAGACGGCTCAGCAGTATGCGCATCAGATTCCGCGTAAAGACGATTTTTCTCTTGACCAAGATCCACGATGCTGATCTGATCGCCCGCACACGAGAACTAACCAAATGGCTTCTGTCTCATGAGCGGGACGTTGTGTATACAGTCTACGTGGAAGAAAAGTTTAAAGACAACAAAAAGTTCAATGCGACGGGGATAGTTGAAGAGCTCAAGAAAGACGTTGCCGAGTCGGGAACATCGAAATCTGGGACAAGCGAGGAAGGCATATCGAAGCGTCTCCGATACTGGAACGAAGACATGTGTCGCAACCGACCGCACATGTTCGACTTTGTCATTTCATTGGGAGGCGACGGTACCGTACTATACGCCAGCTGGCTATTCCAGCGCATTGTCCCGCCGGTGCTGAGCTTCTCCCTCGGAAGTTTGGGTTTCTTGACGAAATTTGATTTCGAGGACTACCAAAGTATCCTCGAGAATGCCTTCAATAAGGGTGTTACAGTCAGCTTGCGCTTGCGGTTTGAGGGAACCATCATGAGGAGCCAGACGAGGAAACAACTGGCGGACGGCGAAGAGAGCAGCTCGAGCCAAGACGACGACGGACGAAAGCTCGACCTCGTCGAAGAGCTTGTAGGCGAGGAGAGGGAGGATGAGCACACCCATAAACCAGACGGCACCTTTGAGATATTGAACGAGATCGTTGTGGATCGTGGCCCCAATCCCAGTAAGTCCTCGACCATGCTTCCTTGCCGAGCGAACTCTAGATTACTGATCCTGCGACCCCAATAGCAATGTCATACACTGAAATCTTCGGTGACGACGAACACTTCACCTCCGTCTTGGCAGACGGCATTTGCGTTTCGACCCCAACGGGCTCCACCGCCTACAACCTGGCGGCCGGCGGCTCCCTCTGCCACCCGGAGAACCCCGTCATGCTCGTAACTGCTATCTGCGCACACACGCTCTCGTTCCGCCCCATCATTCTCCCCGATACCATTGTACTTCGTGTGGGCGTGCCCTACGACGCGAGGACCAACTCGTGGGCTAGCTTCGACGGCCGCGAGCGCGTGGAGCTATTCCCCGGAGACTACGTGACGATCAGCGCCAGCCGTTATCCCTTTGCCAGCGTGCAGGCTCAGGGCCGGCGAAGCGAAGACTGGGTCAACAGTATCAGCGGTAAGCTGGGCTGGAATACGCGCCAAAAGCAAAAGGAATACAAGGAATGGGAGAGGTAGATTTGTTCGTCTGGCAATTCGACGATCAACGACAAAAAGTTCAGAAGAGTTCCGCGACACGCAGAGTCCAAAGGCTTGGCTTCGGATAGCAACTTTCCGAGCGACTGTCAGTCGGTAAGCTGTCACCATCGAGAGCTCACGTGGTCGCACGCAGACGACGAGGATGGGCACTTTGACACATTTCAAATCTTTTGTCACTTGCCGCGTGGCCAGCCCAGGAAGGACGCACACACAGCAACTACATCCTGCCTTCCGGAGGACTATAAATCCAAACGCCAAGCCCCGGAGATGGTTCACGTCTTTGAGAGAACGTCTTTTTGGGTCTTTCAGAGGTGAGAACATCCCGTCTTCGGGATGGTGGCCACTTGGCCTCCGAGATTGAAGATCGACTAGGTTCACGAACGCAACTAAGCTTTGCCTTTGAGCTTGGCACTACGTCTTTCAGCCTAGCCTGAGTGCGATGTGAGTTGCGAGGAAAGAGCATGGCTCTGAGAAATCATAGCAGCGCAGCCGTCTTAGTAGCAATCTGATTGTCCATCTGGCTTCGAGACGGGCTCCGGACGTCGTTTTCGTGCTCGCCATCTACGATTGTCTTCCACGTTGGCCGACACTCCTCCATCTTATCAAGTCCATAACGGAAACAGTCCAGTAGGCAGACTGTGCGCAGGAGGCAGACAACATTACCCAGATGATGGTCAGACAGACTTATCTCTACGGGTGTTGAAGTGTTTCCTCCCCCCAAGACACGAAGGAAAAACCGCAACCCAGGGCAATCCACGCCAAACATGACAAAACGAACGCGGCAAGCTAAAACACCGACCGGCGTCACCCGCCCAACCTCGCTGGCCCTACGTCTTCCAGGGCAGGGCACCTTACTGAGGCCTTACACTACTCACGGATAGGCCGCCTCGCGGGCTTCGCAGCGCATCTATTGCCCGCTCGGTCGTACCCGCGGATACCCTTGGTCATGGGTCTGGCTTCTCCCACCTCCCGCACAGCCAGGATGGCCCCTGAGTCACGCGCTGACAAAGGAAACGCTACAATTCTCCCATTGGGTCTTGTACCCCTGGGCGATTTCAGCATGGATACCGCCGATGGTTGTATGCGGCTCTATTAGTATCTACTAGGGTAAGGGGACTTGTGACAGATGCTGCGACGTCCCGCTGGTCCCATGTTCGCCGGCAACACAATGGGACGTCTCACAACCACAACAACTCGGAACTGATCGCCATACGTCCACAGGCGGTCAATAGGCGGCTTTTTTTGCCCTTTGAGCTGCAGGTTCCACATAATGCCTACATGTTTTTCATGCAGGAACCGCCACGCAGGCTCAACGTCTGGTCGATTTTTCGCTTGAGACGAAACAGGCATTTTTGGATTCCGGTCGTTTCTACCAAGGTATGCTACATGCACTAAAAAAGGAACTCTCAAGGAAAGCA